CCCTGAATGCATTGCCTTGGGATGTTTGGCTGGAGACGAACCTGCGGGGAGAGGTGGCACTTGGCTTTGACGTGAATTGGCGAGAGTAGTTTTGCCTGAGGATCTGGTGGCTATGGAGATGGCGAAACGGTGAAGTTTTTGAGCAAAAACCACGAACGCTAGAGCAGAAACTGGAGTGGCTTGAACACAATGACCTCGAGGTTAAAAACTCTTTTGAGAAACGGTTGAATCCGGAGGAGGCAATGACATCTCGCACGACTGATCAGATTAGATGGCGGAAGCCGGCAAGAGGCTGGTTTAAAGTCAATGTCGATGGCTACTGCAAAGCAAATGATATCGCGCATTGTGGTGGCTTGCTCCGGGATGAGCATGGGATTTGGGTGAGAGGCTTCATGTTCAACATCGGGCGTTGTAGTGCAAGAGAAGGTAAAACCTGGGGGATTTTTCAAGGCTTACGAATGGCGAAGGAGTTGGGAATCGCAAAGCTAGTAGTGGAGATTGACTCGAAGAGTCTGATTGCCGATGTATGTGCTGCAAAAAGAAACCATGGCTTCACCACCAACACCGTGTGGAGATGCCTATGCGAAGCTGATCACTTCCAAGAGATAGAGTTCGCATACATCCCTTGAGAGGGGAATGTAGTGGCAGACAAACTAGCCTCGGCGGCTCTCGCCCACCGATTAGGCTATCGTGATCTCCAGAAAGCAACAGCAGATTTATATGAAGATATCAAGCTCGACCAACTGGGAGCTGTGGCGTTCAGGCGTTTATGATCTCTGAGGGTTTTCCCTCTCCTTGGCATTAAAAAAAAAAAAAATCGATCAATACCCAATATGAAAATTAAAATAATTTTTAAATATGAAACTTAATTAAGATAAAATAAAATTGAACATTTTCAAAATAACAAAAAATGAGTTTTCAACTTGTGATAAAAGTAATAGTAATTAAAGATGTGCATTATATTGTTGTAAATAATTATGATAAAAAAAAAATCATGTACTATCAATTTGCATATTAAAATAAATTAAGGTTTTTTTAATACGGTATTGATGACAATTAATGAGTTGGTTAAACTTTTTTTTTTTTTTTTTTTTTTTGTAAAAGGTGAAATGATTAATTATAGTAGACTTATTAATGTTGGTGAAAAGCAATTAAAGAATATAATTATGTAATGAAGTTATAGCGTACAAATTCATATGTTTTTCTTGTGTATATGATTGAGACCTCAATTATCATTATTACAAAGAAGAAAATGGCTGCAAAAAGAATAAAAATATAATCCAAAAATGTCACGAGTCTATTTTTTATATACTAATTTAATTGTTATTATAATAATATAAAAATAAAATTCTCAGTATTATTATTATTATTATTATTATTATTATTATTATTATTATTATTATTATTATTATTATTATTATTATTATTATTATTATTAAATGTTAGAAAATATTATGCAATAAGTAAGTTAATAATAATTACAATTTACAATGAATATTTTGTTACCAAAGTTTATATATAAAGAAAAAAAATGAAAAAATAAATATGACAACTTTGAAAATGTCTTATCCTTTTGTACAAGGAAAAAATCAAAATGTGTAAGTTAAGAATGCACATGATTACATCAACATATTTTATATTATATTTCTATTAGAACCTTACCAATATTGACTTTTATATAATTAGGTAGAAGCTAGGTAAGTTGATCCGTGAGACAGGTAATGTCAAGATGAAAATGTAATACTTATGCTGGAAAATGTAATACTAATCATAATAAATTTTATGTTATTTATATGGAAAAGTTTAATACTTTTGAAGAAAAAAATATAATACTTTTAAATAATCAAAATATAATATTTAGGGGCTAAACAATTACTTATGAGAAAAAATGCAAGCTAATCATGGATATATTGATTGAGTGATACTTATGACAAAAAGTGTAATACTTATGAAAAAAATGTGATGCCTTTGATTAAAAATGTACACCGTAATACTTTTAAATTAAAATGTAATATTTTAGGTTGAAGACTTATGAGAAAAATTGTAATATTTATTAAGAAAAGTGTTGCTCAAGAGAAAACTAAGAACTAATTAGACTTGTCCATTTGAAAAGATCTAATGGAGCAAAAGTAATTTAAAAAATAAAAACGCGGTGACATTTTTGTAAGTAACTCAAACTTTAAAGTGCAAGTAACATATGCAAGTAATTGGTGCAAGTAACAACGACACTATAAAGTGCAACCTTTAACACTATAGTGTGCAAGTAAATAATTAACTAATTATTAATAACGTTAGGTCACTTAATATTATTACTTAGGTGTACATTTTTATTGTTGCACTCTATGGTGTTGTTAAGTATACTCTATAGTGTTATTATTTGTACTTAATGCTCTAATTATTTGCAAAAATGCACTTCATTTTTCCTCTCTCACTATTAAAGCGGTTAGATCTTTTTAAATGAATGACTCTGATTGCTTCCTAGCATGTTTTATTTGATCTAAATTTATATATATATATATGTGTGTGTGTGTGTGAATATGGTTATAAAATTTAAAACTCATAAACCAAACGCAACTAACGTACCAATCGCATTAGTCATGACAGTTGAATGTTTCATGGGTTAGTTGTGAACTCCTTTACGAAATCTTTAATTAGCAGACATTTATGTTTGTTGCATATAGGATATAGACCTACAAGTCAACTCTGCAAAATACTTTTCTTTTTTTATTTTTTTTGCTCCCAATTAATACAAACCTCATGATAGGAATATACACTTTACGAAATATAAATAATAATTTCTGATGGTAAATAGCATAAAGTGCAACTTGAATCCCAATGTCCCCCAATATCTTTTTATAGAGAATGATTTTATTCGATTAATTAAATTCATCGATGACTTTTTTTCAAAATACAAATAGTATTTTCTGAAGGTAAATAGGGTCAAGTGGAACTTGAATCCCGATGTCTCCTAAGATCTTTTTATAGAAAATGATTTTACTCGATTAATTAAATTCACTGATGAATTTTTTGAAATGACTTTAGAATTTTCAACTAGGAAAGTAAGAATTTAATAGAATTGATAAATCACTTCAATTACATTGTTGCAGCTGACCAATAAATGTACAGATGGGATGGTAGGTAACTATTATTTTGTTTCGTGTGGTCTTCATGTGCGTAATGTTTCCTCAAATGGTCTAAAGTTACAGATTTTTGCTGATCATGCATGCTTGGTCGAAGTGATCTAAATATTTATGAGTTCTTTTTTTTTTTTGTTTGTTTGACTTTTTCTGTTGTAAGAAAAAAATGTTTGTGAACATTAAAGTGGGAGACTTGGAGTAAATATGAACAATATGTGTTATTGTTTAAAAAATATGTGCATATCCAATTAAATGCAAGTGGGAATAAAGATGAGAGTCAAATATATGGTGCTAGAGAGATAGGTAGTTGTTAGAGTTGTATTCAAACACGGCACGCCCATCCATGCCATTTGCGACCTACAAATGAGACCTTTTCGGTACGTAAGCCGTGTATGGATGTGCGACTAGCTTCAAATTAAATGAGTATGGAGTAAGGCCAACAACAATTTTTATTGATTTTTTTTTTTTTTTTTTTTGTGAATTTTTGGGCGATGTGGATAAGAGAGAAAGGAGAGAGTAAAAGGGGTTCTTCAATAGGGAGGGGTTTTTTTTTTTTTTTTTTTTTCCGATTAAATACTTTTTGTGGGTCTCATTGGAAAATGAAAAAAAATTGATATGCATTTTGTGCACTTATAGTGCTCGTTGGTAATGTTTAGGTGGTTGTCAACTGGCGACCAAGCCACTCACCCTCCTTTTGTTTTGTTTTCCCAAACTATTGGGTAATTGAATCATAGTTGTGATTTCATTCTCTTTCTTCCTTTGTTGGAGGATAAAAATGTAATATCCTCCCCTTCCATTTTATTTCTTTTATCTTTTATTTTTCCCTTATATAAACCAGTAGCTCATCATCAATAATAACACCTTTCTTCTTCATCTTCCCGCACCTCTCGTTTCTCTCTGCTTCCTTCGTTCTCCATCAATGTAGTCTCTTATTCCAACATGGTATCAGAGCGGCGAGACAGCCACGCCGCCGCTGTCACCGTCGCCGGAAAATTGAGTCAAAGCACGGCTCATCCGGTGATGCCGATTGTTAAATCCCCAATTCCGCAGAGGAAGCCAAACAATCCGATTGCTACGCAGAGTAGTCGATCAATTCCGCAGAGGAATCTAGAAGACAAGGAGAATCCGATTGCTAGAACCTCCCCAGCCGCAGAGGAAGGAGTTCGTAGCTCACACCGGTTGAAGCAGATGGAGCAGTTCTCCTATTCAGCCATAACCGTAGCCGATCCGCAGCGGAAGGCGATCCAGGAAGCTTATCCGTCGTTTCCGGTCCAATCCTCCGATTCAGCCACAGCAGTTGTGTCTTTCCATCCGAAATTTCGGAGAGAAACGGAGAGGAGTATCGCCGGAATTGGAGCAGAGGATACGGCATTGAGGAAGCTTACGAAGGTTCCAGTGGAGTATCGCTATACTTGGCGAGAAGTATCGCTATATTTTGATTATCATGAAGTGGCTGCGAAGAAGGGGGTCTCGTTTGCAGTGGAGAGTCTCAAATCTGGTAATCCTTCTAATCTAGCATCTACGTCTTTTGGTAAGGCTATTAAGGGGATTAGACATGCTGATTGTGTTGAGATTAGTGAACAATTGTTAGATACACCAACTGTTTGTAAAAATGCATCAGTGAGCCTGAATCCCAGGAATGCTGGGTTGGACACTAAAAATGGTGCGGTGATCGTGGACGACGAGCCTGTTAAGTATTTCGCTATTGCGAAGGCTGCAGGTAGCGTTGATATGTCTTTAGGTATCAAGCTGGGTGTTCAGTACAGTCTTTAGGGAGGCTCTGTTCTCAATTTGGGGACTAAGAAACACAAAGACAAGTACTTTGAAGGCATAAACAACCTGGAATACACCGGTTGCTTTGCAATGACTGAGCTTCATCATGGTTCCAATGTTCAAGGCCTTCAAACTGTTGCCACCTTTGATCCACTTAAGGGTGAATTTATTATAGACACACCTAATGATGGGGCCATTAAATGGTGGATTGGTAATGCTGCTGTCCATGGTAAATTTGCAACAGTTTTTGCAAGATTGTTGCTACCATCTCATGATTCAAAAGGTGTTTCCGACATGGGTGTTCATGCTTTCATTGTTCCAATAAGGGATCTAAAGACATACAAAACTCTACCAGGAGTAGAAATACATGACTGTGGTCACAAAATTGGGTTGAATGGAGCAGACATCAGCAAGGTTGTTGTTAAGGAGCTGACTAGTTGGGTGATTTACTCTGATGAGGAGCAGAAGTTCAACAAAGACATAACTGTTCGTCTTATACAGAGTGAACTACTGAGCTTTGCAGAATATAACAATCATATGGCGGAACTTATTAATGCTGAAAGAAATAAGTCTACAACTGTGTTTTCGATTTCTCTTATACAAACATTGCTGAAGATTGATTCAAAAGCTCTATTGGAGCTGCAAGATCTTGTGGATGCATTGGGAAAGCTTGCTGCAAGACCTGGTTCTCACGAGTCATTGAAACAACTAGTTGAGATAGCCAAGAATACTTCTGCTAATGTTATGGCTTCGTCTGGTGCTTCTAGCTGGAAGGAGGATAATTTCAAACAATCTAAAGAAAAAAAAAAAGGCTGCTATGCTCCCTCCAAGCGGTGGAGATAAGAGCTCATTTGAATGTGTTGAGCCAGGCCCTGCTGGATTCCATGAACAGGTCTCCAAGCGGTGGAGGCTATGCTATCCTGTTGTTACATATTTGCCCAAGTCAAAAGCAGATAAGAAGGAGAGTTTGTTAGGAAACACTAAAGATTCTATAGATGAATCAGATGTGGCCAAGGTAGTGGAAGAAGATATGGCTGATTTTAAAGAGGATGTCCAAGTTGAATGGGTTTCATATTGGAAGCTAAAGTTTACAGTCAGTTTGGTTGATGATTTCACAAGATTCACTCAAAATGCAGTCCCACCAAATATTGTTTTTTTTTTTTTTTCTCTTTTGTATCTAAGCTGGGCATGTAGGATCTACACGCTCCAGCTTACCGGGGGGTGTTGGAGGATAAAAATGTAATATCCTCCCCTTCCATTTTATTTCTTTTATCTTTTATTTTTCCCTTATATAAACCAGTAGCTCATCATCAATAATAACACCTTTCTTCTTCATCTTCCCGCACCTCTCGTTTCTCTCTGCTTCCTTCGTTCTCCATCAATGTAGTCTCTTATTCCAACATCCTTTGATAAGAGAACCATTATGACTTCATGGCCATCGTCTTTAGGCCCCATTTTTCTAATCCAAAGAGTAATACTACATGAAAAATGATATATGGATTCTAAGAGAATAAAATTCATGTCACATAATCATTTTATTGATTTAAGAAAAAAGAAGGAATAATGAAAATTGTAAGTTACTATTTTTTGTAGATGAATCAGAACATGTCACATAAATTATTGAGAAAATAAAAAATAGCGAAAATTAAGAGTATGTGTAGTATTACTCATACTTACATTTATTCTAAATTCTTTTTTACCTTATTTTAATTTTTAGACATAACATGCACAAGTTGATCTAAAAAAAAAAAAGTATACTAATTGTAGTATTTTTTTCCTAAAATAAAGTTAAAATAAGCGGTGAAAGTTCTAGAGTTCTACTATGCGAACCCCCAAATTCTACTCCTTGATGTGGCAAGCATGAACAAGACATTTTCATTCAATGAATTCTAGCAAAATTTACCTATATCAAAAGTTTGTAAGTATGGAGTAAAAGTTTGGAGTGCATTTAGTATTTTTCAAAGTTTTATTTAATTTTTAAGAAAGGTGAATTTTATGGATTTTTGAACAATAAGAATGTAGGGATAAGGCTGTCATCATAATAACAATAGAATAAATTAAAATAGGATAGTCATACAAAATTGAATGAGAATATGAGATAAAACATAAAAAAAAAAAAAAAAAAAATAGTGGAAGAACAAAAATATAGATGTTTAATTAATCGCTATTGGCCCAATACAAATCTAGAGAGTACACTACGAGTAGTTATGCTGTGCAGATGCAAAAAAGACGTCGTTTTATTAAAAACGCGCGTCTCTCCTTAAAAAAAAAAAAAAATTCAGGTTCGATTCTGAGCAACAAAATTATGTTGTTCATTCATTCTGAAATTTTAGTTCATAGATTATGGAATTTTAGTTCATTGATTCTGGAATTATAGTTCATCGATTCTGGAATTGCAGTTCATCGATTCTGAAATTTTAGTTCATAGATTCTGGAATTTTAGTTCATTCATTCTGAAATTTTTAGTTCATAGATTAGATTCTGGAATTTTAGTTCATAGATTCTGGAATTATAGTTCATGGAATTATAGTTCATCGATTCTGGAATTTTAGTTCATATGTTGTTGCTGGGAATCAAACAGGAATTTTTTTTAAGGAGAGACACGCGTTTTTAATAAAATGACGTCATTTTTGCATCCGTATGCACCATGCATGGTGCATACGGATACATAGCATAATTTGCCCTACACTACTAAAGAAAACGAGAATAGAGTATATACGAATAACGCTTAGATTTCTAGAATGCTTGAATTGGTACGAAGACCGGGTCTTCACAACAAGATTAGTCAACTAAAGGTAGTGTGAGAATTATGCATAAAGTTGATAGATTTTTTGTGCACGAATGTATTTAGTCTTGTCTATTGAGCCATTGAATTACAGTGATTTACATCCTCTCAAGTGTTCTGTCGAGTCGGAGTGTGGGTCCTTGTGATTGGGGATTCAACTTTTTGGGAGAAGATGAGTCCACTAGAGTGTTATTATTATTATTTTTGTTAATAACTCAAATTTTTTGATTTTGTTAGACTATATCTTGAATCTTATAAATTTGTCCCAGACTCATGATGAGGTAAATCAATCCAATTTAATTTCAAGACTCAATACAAAGTTTTACAATTTTGTGCACAAGGTCCATCATTTTAAACCCAAACCTCCCATGTTCATAGTAGGGCCGAACCCAGATTGTCGTTATATTAACAATTTATTTGAAAATATTGATTTTTACATATTTGTATTTATTTTATTTCATGGAAAGGATTAGCTATTGAAGAAGTGTACAAGGATCATTGTTAGTGTCATGGTTTGTGATGAGTAAAAGTTTAGGAGTGAATTTATACATACGTTTCTAAAATATATTGCAAAGATGTTTATTTTTAAACAAAAATGTCTAAAGGTTAAGAGAAATTTTTTTAAAGGTGTACCTCACAAATATGCCAATTATCAATGTTATTTCTAAATTATTAGTAGTGTAAATTTTGTCTTTCAATTTTCAAAACATGACAAATATTGCCCCTCCGCCCCCTGAATTATCAGTGGTGCAAATGTGACGTGATTACCCGTCATTTTTCACGTTCAAATACCACATTTTTTTCCTCCATTTTCCTTTCTTCATTTGTTCTCCTTCCGCCAACAACAATGTTTCCCCTTCTTCCTATTAGGAGAGGGGCAATATATGTCACATTTTAAAAATTGAGTGGTAACATTTACACCACTAATAATTTAAGGGTAACATTGATAATTGACATATTTGTGAAGGGTATAAATTACAATTTTCTCATTTTTAATAAGACACTTGTGTATTATGTTGAAGATATAACTTTGCTGACCTTGGCAAATTTAATTTTGAGTGTACAACGGAGCACTCATCTAGAGCGCAACTACAATGGAGCACATCCAGAGTGCAGCTACAACTAAATACTCATTTGGAGCCTTACTAAATGAAGCCGGACACAGAAGCATGTCTTCAACATATCTACTGAGGGTATTTATCGGTGCTATAGTTGGATAGACAATATAGAAAATGATGCAAGAAGAGGAGGTGGTGTCACCGTACCGGCCGGTAATGGTTTTTTTTTTTTTTTTTTTTTTTTTTTTAGGATTTGTAGCCATGGATCGTTAGGTCTATTGATATTGAGAATGATAGTTCTGAAATTAATCTTATTATTGATCAATCTATAATTATTTAAAGTACATGATGAAGAGATGCATTTATAAGGGTACAAAAAATTTTAATTAGAACAGAAATGATAAATGGTAATATTTCTTATTAGGTAGAGAGAGAATGAATTCTATATATGCAAGTCATATACTTAAACTACTTGAGATTATGCATAGTTTTGTGCAACAAGGATTAAATATGTTATACGGTTAATCTCTTTAACTTTTCTTATTTACATAAAATCAATACATAACTCAAAGGTGTCATTCAATTTTGGGCAAATAATCAATTTATTTTCTCAATTATACGAATGGCCACATTTAGTTCTTGAGTTGTCAAAGTTGCGACAGAATTAGTCTATAAGGTGATAGAAGTGTTAACTTTGATCGTTAAATACCCAACACCTAACTTTTCAAGATCTTTTCTTGTAAATTTGATATTTTTTCACTTTAATAGAATCGTTTTGCAACTTTATAAATTATTGAATACTTTAAAAGAATAATGGCACAAATTTTATAAAAATAACATTTAAAAGTTAAAATTTTAAACATTTAATTAACCTTCAAAAGTAATATTTTCCTTACCTTAGAGACTAATTGTAGCACAACTTTGACAACGTAAAAAACAAATAAGTTAGACTCATATTATTGAAAGATTGAATTAAGTATTTGTCTATAATTAAAGAATCAAAATTATCATTTTCTTTACAGTTTGTAACACATAAGTAGAGTTTACTCAATACATACGGTTAAACGGGTTTCTCTTTTCATCCAACAATAAAAAATGTCATTTTCTCACCATCAAACTTACCCATTTGTTAGGCAAACTTACACACACAAGCCTTGCATTCTCTCCTAGTCATGCGTTTCGTTTTTTTATTTTTTTGAGCAACAACTTACGGTCTTCAACCTCTCTCATTTGAAACTTATCTTCATCGTCGAATATTGACAGTTGATATGTACTTTATACTAAAATGAAACATTAACTGGATCACATTGCAAAATTTATGGATTTTACCCTCAACTAAACATTGTTCCTGCGTCAAACTAGGATCAATCGGACCGGTCACACGGAAGATTTATTAGATCGTCACATGCAAATCTCTGCTCACATATGGTCACGGCCAAAAAAGGTTATCCCAATGCATGCATTAATTCAAGGCACGCGATGCAGTGATTCATTGATTAGTCATTACCACATTAATTGACGAAAACAACATACCAAGAACAAGAAAACACACGCGGTATTAAGTGTTTTATCAAATTAAGAAAAATGGTATAAAGTGTTCTTTGAAGGAGTGTCACTCTTGGCATGGATTGGACGAAAGAAAATGAAATAGGGAGAACATTGTAGTTATGTAGGTTAGGGTACGGTTGTTCTCAATCGTTATGCGTTGGACCCGTGTCCAACATGCTTGCTGGACACGGGTAACAGTACCGTTAGGCACTGTTATCTTCTTTTTTTTTTTTTTTTTTTTTTTTTTTTTTTTTTTTTTTAATTTCAGACCGCTTCGTTATAGGAGTATATGTTCATAATTTTATTACTATATGTTAATAACTGTACATCCATAACTCCATAACTGTACGTTCATAACTCTATAACTGTACATTCATAACTCCATAACTGTACATTCATAACTCCATAATTGTACATTCATAATTTTCGAAGCTCTATGTTCACAATTTTAGAGCTCTATGTTCATAATTTTATCACTATATGTTCATAATTGTAAGTTCATAATGTTAGAGCTCTTTGCTCATAATTCGATCAATAACTGTACATTCATAATTCCATAACTGTAGATTCATAATCTCATAACTGTAGATTCATAACTCCATAACTGTAGATTCATAACTCTATAACTGTACATTCATAACTCCATAATTGTACATTCATAATCTTCGAAGCTCTATATTCACAATTTTAAAGTTCCATGGTCATAATTTTATCACTATATATGTTCATAATTGTAAGTTCATAATGGTAGAGCTCTGTGTTCATAATTTCATAATTGCATAACAGTACATTCATAACGGCATAACTGTACATTCATAATCCAAAAAAAAAATAACGCCGTTACCGGCAAAACGCGCGCGATTTTTTTTTTTAACTAAATGATGCGTTTTTTTTTTTTTAAAAACGACGTCGTTTTGGGCCCGTGTCCACAATTCATTGTGGACACGGGTCCAGGGCATAATTTGCCGGTTGTTCTTTACAGCTAATGATCCATCAACACTGATGAATATATTGGGCCCAAACCGAAACTACGAAGATATTCCGACTTGGAGCAAGACGAACCGACCTGAGACGAGGAACTCCTGCAACTTGTCTTGTGGTCCGCCCACTGTGGCTCGACCTGAGTTTGGGAGGTCGGGTCTATAAGACTTTCCCGTATAATATATATTTTATATTATGGGTCTTATTTATGTGGTGCAAGTGGATTAGACCCATTAAGTAATTGGTTGGACTGGACATTTAGATTTAAGTCTTATTCCACCAATGTGCCTATATATAAAGTCTGTATTGATGGGATACATGATACATGATTCATTATGGTACTCATGCTGT